CCAAACCGAATATTTATAAAAAATTGTTCCTGTTTTACATAAAAGATAATTTTCAAATGATGTTTTATAATAACCTGAATCGAATTAATAACGTTGTATGCTCTCCTATTGGCAGAACATATAACGTCAACCAGTGGTAGAATTACATTATCCAACTCAAATCAGTGCAAACCCGCTCAGGGTTGAAAACGCTAATAGTCAAATGTGAAAGGAAGAATCAACTACTATGATTAATGAATTTCTTAAGGTTTCAGGCTTACTACACCTATTGTGTTTGCGGGCTTTATCGTACGACACATGAAATATTATAGTCCTTTACAATAAGTCGTTAATTTGTTTTAATTAAAGCTTTAAGTAATTAAGTTTTAAGTAAGAATATTAAAGCCTATAACGGTCGAAGCCGGATTTTTATATTATTAATGCTTTAAATAATATATTCGATATGAATTATATACATACTATATATACAGGATGAATCCCGGATCGGTGAAATATCTCAGAAACTAAGCATTTCCGAAAGAAATGTTTCCTACAAAAATTGTAGGATTTTAAGAATAGGAGTGATAAATCAACTCATTTTCACTTCATTTGTGGTGCAGCTACATATCTGCACTCTATCAGACTCTATCATATAAAATATTGTCTCGTAGAAGAAATATTTTGCTATAAAACTCGTTTTGAATTATATTTTACGAAACTACGAAGTCTATTAAAGAACTAAAGTTTGCAATTTCATTCTTAAAAACATTTTAATGAATAAAGTGGTATGTTTCTTATTTACGGTGCAGATACTTATCTTTATATTAATATTTTATCTCCAAGAAATAATATTACGTCATAAAACTTTTTTGGTTTCTTTCTTTATGAAGCTGCGAAGGCGCGTACAGAGGCAGATTTTGCAAATTGATTCTTGAAATGTCTACTTATATCATATGAAATATTTATTTAAAATATACGACTCTTTTTTTCGCTAAATATATCTTGCGTTGTGGCTGTATGCTCCTTATCATTTATATTTTGTATTGTTTAAGCCCCCTCTAAAAGTTTTTCAATTCTGATTCTTGAAAATTTTTTAATAATAAAATTATGTGCACTTTAACTGCACTGTAGTATACGTCGAGTAAGATATCAGAATAAATGTTTATTTTGTCTTTTTCCCCCAAAAAATCGCTCTATTCAGAAAAGCCTTCAGAAGCCTTTCCTGATTACAAATATCGCAATTAAAATGCGATTCAGGTAATATTTTAGCCATAATTTCAGTATAAAGAAACACGTACGTGCAGATCTAAGTCAATTAATGCTGTTTTTTTTTTCGAAGAAATAATATTTCCTTATGAAACTTTTTGGAATTTTTTTCTTATAGTGCTGGGAAGGCTTGTACAGAGCTGGATTTTGTAGATTCTTGAAAATTTTTTATTAATAAAATTATGTACACCGACCTGCACTATAGTACCTATCGGATGAGATATCATTAGAAAGATGTTAATGTGTTAAAAAACTGTAAATAAAGCTTTTGCAAAAGCCTCGGTAGTCTAAGGGCCATGGCACACCAAAAAAATTAAGTAATAAAATGTAAGCAGTAAGCGAATTGATCAATCGCGGTAGAGTCCGTAAGGCCATAACGTAAGCAGTAGCCAATCCAACATGGTGATTTCCTTACTGTTTACATTTTACTACCTTAAGTTGTTTATGTGCCATAGCCTTAAAGGCTTGTACGGAATACAAGAGTTCCGGGTTCGACTTCCGGCCGAGTTAATATTTTTCGCAATAAAAAATAAAATTAATTTACAGTTTCTCAGCATATTAACATCTTTCTAATATGATACCGGATTGAGTATCAAATTATTAAAATTTGCTTGTCAATTTAATTTAATTTGTAATATTATTACAATAGTTTAATTGCATTTATAAATGCGGAAAACCAATTCGCGCGCAGTTCGAATAATTATAAATATGGTATACATACATGTACAGTGTCCTACGTAATTGTGATTTTTCCGGCACTTCCGATGATGTGACAAAAATTATTTTGAATAAAAGTTAATCAGTTTTCAATCGACTACAAATTACAATATTGAAAATTTGCAAAAATATTCTTTTTTAGGAAAAAAAGTCATCCTAATTTTTTTAAATGGCACTACTTTTTATTTCATAATATTGTAACTGATGTCAGGACGAGATCAATGATCTGCTATACTACGACCTTGAGATGACCTTAGAGTCAGAAGTGTGGGTTCAATGAACGGAAATGTTTTCATGACAAATTATTTTGTATAAACTTTACATGTTTTTCATTACATTGTTCAGAAAAAATATTATATATCTATAGACAAATTGAGGAACCGACGTAATCATTTCTGAATTCGTGGTATTCTCGAATGTAGTTCACAATAATTACACACGTATATGTATGTAATGTGTATGTAGAAAAAATGTCAACATAACTTGTAGTACTTGTAGCTCGAACGCTGTTACGACTTTATACTTGTGTTCTTTCTTAGTTTGATATTAAAGCAAATCGTAGTGTCAATTTGTCGAAAATGTATTCCTATGATGAGAAAGTTGACATATGCTTTTTTCTACCGTAGAATATGTCCATATAAAATTTAATACAAATAAAATTTTTCACGAAATTTTCGAAGTTTCCATTCATTGATTCCACACGTCTGACTTTAAGGTCATAGTATAGCAGGTAGTAATTGAACTCGTCTTGATAATATTGTGAAGTAAAAAATACATAGTGCCATTTAAAAAAATTAGGATGACTTTTTTCCTAAAAAAGAATGCTTTGTAAATTTTTAATATTGCAATTTGTAGTCGATTGAAAATTAACCAACTTATATTCAAAATAATTTTTGTCACACCGGAAATGCTGGAAAAATCGGGATCATAGTTACATGGGATATCCTGTATATAGTATTTATGTATACATAATATAATTCACATTGAATTATTTAAAACATTAAAAATCTAGCTTCGATCGTTATAGACTTTAATATTTTTACTTATTGTGTATTCATATTAATGTCTTAATGAATCATTTATTATTAAGCTTTAAGAAATTGATCAATCATAATCGATTATTCTTCTCACATTCAATGTGATTGTCAATTTCTTAGAGTGACCGCACACACTTTCCGTAATAATAATCGTAAAGCCTATTCTATAATGACTACGTTTACATAGCTAGATTTACGACGAAGTTATAACATCGATGTTATGAAACTGGCCAATCACAGTCATTCCGTTCTTCAGAAGAATAGCTAGTTTTATAACATCGATGTTATAACTTCGGCATAAATCGTGTAAACATAGTCAATGTTTTTTTGTTTCCTGTTTTTCTTTTGCTATTTTTTGCAACTTATCTTTTTGCTTCTTATCTGATTTTTTGTTCTCTATCGCTCGAGATAAAAGTTAATGAGCTTCGAAAGAAACAGAAAACAGTAGTAAGAAATACAATTGTTGTTGAAACGATCACAAAGGGAGGAAAAAAGTAAGAGGAAAAAAAGCAAGAAATAGGAAACAAAGAGCATATTGTAAAATAGGTTTAAGACTTAATTAATCACAGTCAAGAATTATCTAAAACTTTCAGTTTGACTAATTCTTATGCGTCATCTACAATACACAGAGTAAGAAGAGTAAGAAATTGACCAACCACAGTCGATTATTCTTCTCACATTCGACTGTGATTGGTGATTCAATTTTTTACTCTTACTTTTTACTCCGTGTATTTTAGATGATGCTTAAAGCGTCTACAATGAACAATAGCAGTAGAGGTTGTAGACACATCAGGAGTAGGCTAATTTTCCGGCCCAGCTAGAAACGGTTGATCGATCAATGTCAAATCGGTTGAAATCAACTTCGCTTATGGACTTATTCTACGCTCTGTTACATCCTCAGCTACAATCATTTCTGGCTGGACCGGAAAATCAGATTATTTCCGACGTATCTACAGCCTCTACTGCTACTGTTCATTGTAGATGACGCATTATAGTTGCTGTTATATAAAAAGTATGGGCAGAGCTCCGTTTGCGCACATTGCGCACATTACTCCTTGGCGAATTAAAAATTTTTTTATTGGTAAAGCCGCGAAAAATTACAAGGAATCAGCTAATGTGTGTGATGTATGCAATCGGGAATGTAGACAAACGGGATTCTCTCAAAATGTGTGCGGACTCCCTTATATGAACGGGGACCATATATTCTTTGTGGTAAAGAATAGTCCTTTACTTCAGGTAGTTATCTTTTAGATTTATTTGTTTCTTCAAAACTCAATTTTGTTCTTTATTTTCCAATATTGTCCTTTACTATCCTTTATTTGGCATTACAGGAAATTCTTTTGTAACTAGCGTTCCAATGTTTATATTAATAAGCAAATTTTTACGAAAAATGTTTTACAATTTCAGCCATATAAATACAATTTGTTTTTGTTAATTATATTTATTAATTTTTTTAAATTAAATTTACTCAAACTAGAGTTGTTTTCATTTTTTATTATTTTGAACCTTTTATTATTTCAGATCAAGGGTTTGTTCCAATACAATCGAACCAGTTTCAAACTATCAAAAAACTGTACATTATCTCAATTTGATTATACTAGACAATACAATTTTATAATACACAGATTCAGACAGTTACAAACTGATTTGAAAAAATATATAGGAAACAAAGCCCTAAAATTTTCAGATTTCTCTTTTATTTTCTTTAAGAAAATATGGTCATTTATACAGGGTTTATAATAGAAGTCGTAGCGTTCAAAGGATCTTAAGGGTCGTAGAAAATTGACCAAACATAATCGACTATTTTTCTCATATTCGAGTGAGATTGATTAATTTTCTATGACTCTACGACCACTACAATTTCTATTGTAGATCCCTTTTGTAGTATTAAAGCTTATATAGTATTTTCCATTGAGAAAATTAGCGCAACACTGGTGCACAATTAATAAATACACACACACACACAATTGAATGCAAATCAATACATATATTTTTTCAGTTAATAGATAATTTAAACATTTTAATTATATTTTCTTTATTGTTACGATAACTTTATAACCTTAAAAGAATTAAATTATTTATTAATGCTGAAAAAATATATATATTGATTTGCACTCAATCGCACCAGTGTTGCACTGGTTTTCCCAGTAGAATAGTAGAAAACGCTATTATGGTTTCTACATATTGGACGCGGATATACTTGTCGCGCATCACACAAAATGTGACGTTGCAGAAGCCATAATAGAATAGTAAAAATCCCATTAACCTTAACGATAATGTCAGATAATGTCGTTATATCATTGTATGCTTTTTTTTTATCATGTAATATAAAACGCAACGGCAATGTCAACAATATCCTTATTGTCGTTAAGAATTACAGAATAGGGACTTAAGGATTATTTATACTGGCCTTAATATGTTATTAACTTATATCATAATCCGTAAGAATTGACCAATCACAGTTAAATGAGAGGAAAATAATCGACTATGATTACTTGATCAGTAAGCTCTAAAGGGTGTCCCAAAATTAACGCAAGATTTGAATTTGCCGCCATTTGTGCAGTAAAGTGTTGGCAACCAAAAAAAAAATAATTTAACAGCTGACAGTTTAGGGTTAGTGAAAATGGAGCGTGAAAATGGATTATTGAACATCAACAAATGGATGCTGATTTTTCGAGCAAAATTATCCTAAGCGATGAAGCACATTTTCACCTTGATGGCTTTGTTAATCGCCAAAATCGCCCCCTAGATCGTGTGATTTAACACCATTAGATTTCTTTTTATGGGGTTATTTGAAATCACAGGTCTATGTCAACAAGCCCACAACCACCCGTGCATTAAAGGAGGAGATTCAACGCTGCATCAACGAAATTCAGCCACATTTATGCAAAATGGTCATGGAAAATTTCGACAAACGAGTGCGTATGTGCATGCAAAGCCGTGGAGGCCATTTGCCCGATGTGTTATTCCACAAATAACCCTATCCTATGTACTTTATGATTCAATAAAAAAATAACAATCAAAAGACTAAAAACTGTGTTTTCTATTTAATTCAAATCTTGCGTTAATTTTGGGACACCCTTTATAATAAAGCAGTCCTAGAGCAAGCCATTTCTATACTAATTACTAAACTATAGAAAGCTGCGGCCCAATGTAGAAAAGGAAGGCAAGCAATAGATCTTTCTGACTGATTTCTATTTATAATAGTAAAACAGCATTAGTCAATCAGAAAATCCCTAACAAAGAAAACAGTATCAACTTTGCATTAGTGTTCTTGTTTAGCAATTGAGACACCCCTACTCTTCAATGGCTCGCTCCAGGGCTGCGTTCCTCATCCAGACACTCAGAAAGCGTTTAGATTCCCTTTGAGTGCCTTGGGCGCTTAGGTGGAACATTCAGATTCCTACTCTATTCACCCGGGAAGATGAAAAAACCTCCCGGTTGAGCTGGATGGAATGAGTGATAGTGGCACATTAAAGACTTCCTGTGCTATCTCAGCATGTTTGACGTGCATCTATACGAAAATTTAAATTTCAGGTTATGCCTGTGTCGTAAACATTGTAAACCATAACTCAAGGGAGGTCAAGTGCCAAATATTTAATCATCTATTAAGTTTTACAGGTCAGGACTTAAGATATTGGTCAGATATTTATCTTATAATCTTTTATTATTATATATATTTTAGTTATATGTAATTTATATTAAATCTGATATATTTACGTCAATATTTGCTGTAACCGATACATGTAGGACTCTCTCTTATCTTAGAGTGCGTTCAGATTCTCAAACCATTCTGGTACTTTTCGGCAGGCTCCGCCCACTCACCCAGTCACCAAGCGATCATCCACCCGGTGAGACATCTGAACACAGTTCTGTTCATATGTTATAAAATTCATTGTTTATGATTGGTCAATTCTTATAGATTACGGATATATTACGACCAGTATAAATGATACGGCTACAATAGAAGGAATAAGAAACGATTCCAACCTATCAGAAATCGCGTATTCCAATGTATGTATATCCGATAAGTTGGAAATCTTCATTCTATTGTGGCTACACCTTAAATAATCTTTTAAATGAATACAGAAAGAGACACAATGGAACGAAGAGAGAGAAGGGGGAGAGAGAAGGGGGGTGAAGAGAGGGAGAGGGGGAGAGGGAGGGGGGAGGGGAGAGAGAGAGAGAGAGAGAGACAATGGCTACATTTACATCATGCACTTAGTACAATAGGTGTTTTTGTTTAACTTATAAGATAAACAAGGATGACACCTTGTACAGATCATGGCCTAAATAAGTGCAGGGTGTAAACATAGCTCATGGAAGTGTGAAAGCGACACACAGAGAACCAAGATGAAAGATATCGCTCTCTGTCTCTCTCTCGAAACTTGTGTGACAAAGAACCTTGACCACGAATAGGACGCAAGAAAAAGACTATACCTTTCTGACGCGTGCCTCGGTCGATGTACTGGTCACGAAAAACGAGTGTATCACTTTATACGGTTGGATACCTTTTGCTGCTTTAAAATTATTTAAATGTATGCAGCCATGGTCGCTCATCTCAGGTTGGTAGGAGCAATGTCGTCGACCTGATCGCACGACGTCCCTCTCCTTCGCGACACCCGACAGTCCCGACACTCGATGCCGTCGGCGGTGATCCTTGTCGAGATCCTCCAGTGGCGCGAATGCGACGTGTACGATAACAACAATTTCTCGAGGATGACAGCGACGACGTGAGGAGTGTAACTCGCTGCTGGCCTTGGCAGAAACGCGCGTGTTGTTGACATGGAAAAGAGAGTGGACCTTGGGAGAAAATAGGAGCGTGTAAGCAAGTGTAAACTTGCTCTTTCGATCGGATGGAAAAAAATGGGAAAAATCTGATCAATGGTGATCAGTCGAGCGGAGGTACCCTTGTCAAAATGTCAATCGCGGCGGATTGAGGAGAAACGCAGCGAGCAATTGCGAGCAATGGCGAGAGCACAATCAAATAATGGGAGAGGGAGTGGTGCGATATGCGGTTTAGAGGAACCATCAATACGTAGGATGACACCTTGAATCACCCTGAATGCTTTATGCTCTCGTTTACTCTCTTTTCTATTTTCAATGTTCTCACGCGCCTACTGCGTTTCCAACGTATTTCGATTACTCCGGTACGCTGTAGTGCCATAAGACTATACGAGCCGATCACGGACATCAACCAACCAACCAACCAACTCAGCCTGCCGGTCACTGCCGACGCCTCGCAGCGCCTCGCGCCTCGTGCCTCGTGTCGCCGGCAGAGGATAGCGTCATTGCAATGAATACAAGAGCGACATCTGTCTGGATGCGACCGTGGTATCGATCGTGCAAGAGTCCTTTGGCCAATTATATTCGTCATTTCGTTCGACGGTAGATACGATTGGCAAATACTAGTGGATTAATCGGCTGATTAAGGCTACGCTCCACTTGATGCTACAAAAAACTTTGAAGTATTTGTAGCGTCAAGTGGATCGCATCTTAAGTTTCTCGAAGTGACCCCTAAAGGTACTTTTATATGGCAGCATCAGAGTATGAGCAGTAATAATCTCACTAAAATTGAATCTAATGTACGATATACATTAAAGAGAGCACAGACTCTTATATAACGCATAACAAATAAGACATAAGAAATCCAACCAATCAGAATTCTTTATTTTATGGAAAGGAAGAAAACAAAGGACTTTGATTGGTACATTTTCTTATGCATTACGTATTATGCATTATGCAAGAGTCTGTGCTCTTCACTTAATAGTGGATTAATTAGGTTTAGTAGGTTAGGATACATTCACACAAACTTACATAGCCGCATAAACGTAGGCATAACAAAAATTCCAGTCACATTTTACGTGCGTCTTTATAAAAGAAATGCGATTGAATAATTTTCTTTATGCATATGTTTATGCGACTATGCAGGTTGTGTGGATATACCCTAATCTGTTATATGTCGTAATCTGTAAAAATTGACCAATCACAGTATTTTTTTCTCAGGCCTAGTTTCACAACACATTTCTTTTCAATTCTAAAATTGGGAAGAGACAATGAATAAGTTGAATTTCGGTTAAGAGTTAACCATGAGTTGTGGAACTGCATATTATTCGACGATAAGAAGAAAATACTCAAAGATGATTAATCAATTTTTACAGATTATTCTTTTTACTTTTTTACTCTTTTTATTCTTTTTAAGATTTAAAATTCTTGAATCTGATTAATTTATATATTTATATCCAATGAGGAACTAAGGGCAAGATCAACCATATTAAAGAATTTTATAACAGTTGCAAAACTGTTTTTTCTGCTGAACGCAGCCATAAAAACACATGGAAAATAGGAATGATGCCATTTTAATGCCGTTATGGGAAAAGTTGAAAATATATACCACATGATAACGTGTATGGAATATGCATATGTATGCATGTTTTATTTTTAATGCAGAAATTCCAATTTGAATAAAATTTCATTTTATTTAATTAAACAGTAAATATATCAATATTTAAAAAATACATACATGCATAGTCATAAATTATCATCAAATCATCGTTTTTTAACTTAATACCGACATCGAAAAATTTTGAAATTAAAAAAAATAAAACAGGACTTGAGAGACAGCTTTCCTTTTCAGAATATACGAGTATTTGCGCATAAAAGTACACAAAGAACGATGGCAGTTTAAAGATAAAATTAGCTTGTGATAAAAACGTACGAAATTGATCAATATTTTATAGATTCTTTATAGATCTTTATAGATTTTGACGTGCTGAACTCAAATATGAAGTTTAAACTTTTCCAAAGTTCCCCGGACTTTGGAGAATTTTAAGCATAACCACGTTAACAAAATTTACGCCAAGGACTTGTTAGAGTACAATCATGGTGGAGTCTCATGAGGCGTATTTGCCATGTATCGCGTAATCGTGTAACCAATCAAAAGCGATCCACTGTTATTACTTCGTGTTCGACTGATTATTGATTGATTACGCGATTTCATTGATACGCGGCAAATACGCCTCATGAGATTACACCCTCATAGGCAGAAAAAAAGGCGATACTTTTTTTTTAATGATTTTTGAAATACGCAAACATTTTTAGAGTTTGATTCACCATTTATCGATGCATGTAAAATGTAGGCTATTATCCAGCTAGGACACAGAAATGTTACACTATGTTCCACTATGTAAAGTACTTGTTGGAACGCAGTTTAGTTTCATAGAGTAACAGAATATATTACAGTCTTCGATTCTATTCTTATAATTATATTTAGTATCAATAATAGATTTATGATTTTTATTTAGACCTAAATTATAATTTTTTTAGAATTGGCGATTTTTGAAGGTTTTATTATTGGGCAAAATAAGGCTACAAAATAATTTTTTGAAAAGTTGGTAACATTGACATATTTTACACGCTCGTACTTAGCTTTTTACCATGTTGAACAATGTAAAGCGAGGAGCACAACCTCTTGCATAACGCATAACATATAATGCATAAGAAATTGTACCAATCGAAATTCTTTGTTTCCTTCCTTTCCATGAAATAAAGAACTCTGATTGGTTCAATTTCTTATGTTTTATGTGTTATACGTTATGCAAGAGTCTGTGCTTCCCACTTAAAGCGGAATCAGACTACGCATTGAAGAATAAGATTGAAAAATTGATGTTTAACCAATCAGAGCAAATGGAGCCGAAACTTCTTTGTTCTCATTGGTGAAATTTAAATCTTTAATCTTTAATCTCAATCTTTAATGCATAGTCTGATTCCGGTTTTACAACTATTGTAGAATAGACTATACACGCATCAACAGATGATGAATCGCCCTCTGAACATTCTTGCGTATTCCAAAAATCAACGAAAAAAAAGTGTTGCCATCTTTCTGCCCATGACTATATGATACATATAAGTTCCACACATACAGATTTGCGTAAGGGCACAATAAATGGCGGAACCAATCAAAGAAGAGAACACTCTCCACTCTTTCTTGATTCTCTCTGGTTATTACTATCGCTATTCCTTCGCATTAGACGAGTTCAAAGCGGCTAGCCTGCTTGCTGAGCAAATGAATATGATTGGTAGTTTCCACCAATGGTTTAATCCGGATCAAAATGTGAGATCCAACCAACTACAGTCGAGTATTCCTTTGTTACAGTCGAACGACAGGGGTCACTTGACTGTAGTTGATTGGTTTTTATATTCTGATCCGGATTACATCTTTGGTGGAAACTAAGCCATTAGTTATTACTTTGGCTTAGTTACATCAATGGCCTAGTTTCCACCGAAAGTTCGAACCGGGTCAGAATGCAAGAATCAATCAATTACAGTCGAATATTTCCTTATTATTCGACTGTAACAGGAGAATACTGTAGTTGGTTGATTCTTGCATTTTGATTTGAATCGAACCCTCGGAGGAAACTAGGCTAATGTCACTTTGTGATTTTAAGCAAGACTTAAAACTCTATCTGTCTCGTTTTAATGCCAAATCGAGACAGAGACAGAAAGAGTTTTAAGCCTCACTTAAAATAAAAGTAACGTTGGTGCAATCGAGTCTTATAAATTCAACCAATCACATTCAATCACCCGGCGAGCAGACTAGCAGCTTTGTCCGGCTTGAACGCGCCCATTGTGTTTCCAGCTGCAGTCTCCAAGGCAACTGATGGTAACTGTCAACAATATAAATATGTATAGTTTAGAAACGGAGGTTGATTGCGTTTCATCAAATTAAAAAAGAATTGTTTTATTTGCGTTTTAAATGCTTTAATAATGTGAAATATATTTTTTGAAACGAATGTTATAGTATGTATGATTATGCTTATTTATACTAATTCATATAATATATGTTAAATTTTAATTAAATGTATGAGTGTATACTCTAATATGTTGAAACAATGACTTTGTATTTTGACATACGGGTGCAAAATCCTGAAAGCGCTTCAATAAGCACTCTTGCAACTTGGCACAATAACTATCCCCTGTTAGCTGTTGCTGCGTATTCTCAAGACAAAGGTGGCTTTGTAATCATCTATGATGATCAAGGTGAGCTCGTGCAGGATATCGAATCACTGGGACACACAGTGGCACAAGTCACCTCTCTTGGTTGGCATCCGGAGAAGACATGGCTAGCAACAGGATGGGAAAACGGAGATTTACGAGTTAGTATTGCAATATTTCAGTACAGAAGACAAGTCTGTCGTGAGATAAAAAATATATTAAATATTATTTATTTAGGTATGGCCAGGGGACACTGGAACTCAGGAGTTCAATGTAATAGTAACCCCTCATCGAGATATCATCACAATTCTGCAATGGAGTCAGTATGGTGGTTGCTTAGTATCTGCAGATACGGGTGGATCTATAGTTGGATGGAAGATAGATTCCAGAGGACAGCTATTCATGACATTTCATCATGAATTAAAAGAATCTTTTTCACAAATTGCATTTAGGACAGTTCCGCTAAAACCAGTTGTTGATATTAGGTACAACTTATAAGTAAAAACAGGTTAAATTATATAAAACAACTTGTATATTATTTTTTTAATAATATAGGTTATTTCATAATTATTGCAAACTAATATAATAAAAATAAAAAGTACTGAATCACTTTCAAAGAAGGTATTTTAGTAAAACTTACGGATGATTAGACTAACATTTGATGATATTCTTTCTTGATTATTTGATTGGATATTGATTGGTCAAATTAATTGTTTATAGTGGTTTGGCAAAGGCAACAGTAGCTGGTGATGAGAGAGCCTGGGATATGTTCAGTTCCTGGCGTCCAAGAACAGCTGCACCAACAGCAGTTCCAGTACAACGGGACAATCATTCGTTTTATATTGGTACTATAAATGGTATCATATACTTTGTTGACATTCAAGGACAATGCAAGGAAGTTCTTAGTACTGATGGTGCAGTGTTGCACTGCTTATTGTATCATCAAAATAGAGATTCTATCATTGTTATGACAGAAGGATTGAACATCGGGCACTTTCAAGCAGATTCAATCACTGGAGAGCTCACCGAATTGACAAAGGTTTATGCCATTGAGTTTTATCACTGCTATATCTACACATTATTTCTATTCAAAATTTAAGAATACTATATATGACAAATTCTGCATCAATATTATTGATTATGTATTATACAAGTTCAATTTTCTGAGATATTTTATTCATGAAAATATATAAAGTATAATTTGTCTATTCAGGTGTGGCACAACGCAAAATACTTGAACGCGCAAATTTTAGGTGATTCACTAGTTTTAAATGCTTACAATTCAAAA